GGCTCACTCTCCACCGTCTCTTCGTCCAGGCAGATGGTCGCGTAAGTTCGGATCCAGTGTATCCTGGCTACTGGCCTTTGACTACCCTCCTGCTCCCGTCTATCCACCTCCCATAGACCCACGACATCGTGATCGGCCCAGAGGCGCCCGAGGAACATGTAACGCAAAAATACACAAACACCGTCGTCGGCAGATACTCGAACCGCGTCCCCGTCGGAACGCACAAGGTCGAGAGGAAGGGGATTACCAGCGAAGTCACGGCGATTCTCAACGGTACGTCGCCCCCGACATCGTGAATTCTTTCGCTAACCGTTCGTCCGCAAACAGAGGGAACCCGAGTATCGCTCCACGGCGGCCCGGTGGGCTTCGACGCCCTGCCCTGGACGCTGCTCACTCCGGAGGACCCGCCGACGCTGTTCACGGCAAAGGAGCTCGCCCACATCCCCATCTCGTCCTCGCCCTCCTCGCACGCCGTGTTCCGCCTCGTCTCGCCAGACGGCGACCAGGGCTTCCCCGGGAAACTCATCACCGAGGCCCTCGTCGCCGTCATCGAGCCCGGCGAGCAGGAGCGCACGTACCGCAAGCCCGGCGACGCGGCGCCGGAGAACGTCGAGTACGACCTCGGCAGCGTGGTGTTTGTGTATCGTGCCAAGCTGGACGAGGGGGAGCGGAAGGTCGTCACGCCCGTGAATTTGACGCAGGTGTGTTTTGTTCATTTTGTTAGATATCAAACGGCCTGACGCGCTCTAGCACTGGGGCTTTAACCTGGAGGGATCACAGCGCGAGAACCAGGAATCCCCCTCCGTAAAAGGGCACACACTTACAATCAAGGTGCCCCCCACGTCGTCCTTCGTACAACAAAGTAACTAACGCATCCGAGGCGGACCACATCGTCAAGCGCGACGCGGACAGCCTCCCCACCGGGTTCATCCCGAGCGCGGGCACGCCGCACGAGCACGCGGGCAAGCTCATCGGGGAGCAGTACCCTGAGCACGGTTATGGTGCGTTGCCATTCAATTAACTACTTGCACCACCAGAATTTGAATCGAACCCCAAGACGACTACTATCTCTTCCCCAAAACACTCGAGCGGGCGCCGACGCGCATCCCCCTCGCGGCGTTCCCGACGCTCGACCTGCTGCAGGACGTCCTGCGCCCCTCGCATCCTACGCCCGGCGCCACCGCTGCTGAACGGGGCACACGCAGCGCCCCCGTCGTCGAGCTCGCGTCGGCCAAGTCGGGGCTGAAGCTTGTGTTTGATTCTAACCGTGCGTTTGTCCCTCCTTCACCTTTCTTCCTCCTTCCTTCCTTGGTGTTGTGAATCAATGAACGAAGGCTAATTCAAGCGCGCACACAGAGGCGGGCGTGATGTTCTACTCGAACGCGTGGACGAACCCGCAGAAGGGCGCACGGAAGAAGATACACGGCGGGTCGGGGATCAAGGGGAAGGGGGATTCGTACGATGCTGGGAGTGCGTCTGTCTTCCTTCTTTGATTTATCCTTCTTCTTTGATACGGCTTTTGCTGATGATGGGGGGCTGCTTTACCTTTACCTTTAGGCGCGGCGTTCCTCGAGTTCCACGATGTGCGTTGTGTTTGCCTCCCTCTGTCCTTCCCCTGAATGCTGTTGCTAATTGAATGAGGGGGATGCAGCCGCTCGCCGCCTTCCTCGACCCCGCGAACAAGGACAAGGAGGACACGCTCCTCACTTCCGACGAGATCTACCATAATTATGTGCGCTGTGATGTTAGGTTCAAGGAGCCGAAGTAGTGGATGAATTGTGCGTTCGTAAATGGGGGGAGGGATGGGGAAGGAAGGGGAGAAGTGTAATGTAAGTAGTTTTTTTGCTTGATGTACAACAACATTTGTGGTTCTGCAAGGTGAAGATTCAGAAGATGTGGGCTACCTCGGGCTGCAAACTCTCGAAAACAATCGAAGATGATGGCCATGTTGTATCTGACGTTGACTGGACAGCTCCTCGAGGCTGCCCGATTCAACAGAGGGAGACCCACAAGCGACACAATTCATGCGGGACCAGTACCTAGGTCCAAGTTCGAGATTTGGGTGGGGTGAAAGTTTATCCTGTCTGCAATGCGTAAACACAGGTTGTCAAGCCCGACAAGGGTTTGGGCCTTTGGGTGATGAGGTCAAACAAGGGGCAGACAGCTCTGGAAACCTGGAATATAACACCCCACATCTTCGCCGTTTGCATCAGATATTTCCAGCTGCCCATCTGCTGCCCAGTATTGATATTGTCCAGAGAGTTGCTTTGAACCTCTCTGAAGTAATAGCGGCATTGGTTAGAGACGGTCAGGCGTGATCGATGCGAAACTTTCTCGGATGACTAGGTAGGATGTGCGGTCGCCGCGTCGGTGCTGGTGTTGGACAACACGGAGATATCCGAGATATTTCTCACGGTTCAACTCTGCCATACAAACTTGTCATATTTTGTATCCCACCGGACTTAGACTCTCGGTCTAGTGGGTCTTGAATTCTTCAACTGGAACCAAATTCGACGCCGCATTGAACCTTCCGCGGACAAATACTTGTGTCCCTTGAGTTTCACTCGGTCTATCGATGCAGTCTATTGATGGCTAACGTGCTTGAGCTTTAGATCGAGCGGCATCCAGACCTGCTCATCTTCGACTCTCAAATTCAGCGCCCAGGATCCCAACATCATAGATTCCCGTCGAGTGCTCAGTCCATCAACTTCGGTTTATGTCAACTCCGTTCAACCCAACCCAGTTTGCCCAGTTCGAGTTCAGTCCCCTGGAGGATAAGTCTCCATGGAACTCACCCGAATCTGACCGATGGCCGCGGTATGCGTGTCTTGCGAGAACAGCAAGCAGTTAATATCCGTTGGGACTTGAGTTCAAGTTCAACTCAACTCCAGTTGGTTGGTATGTTACCCAGTATTTGTCCGCAGACTGCAGCTAGACAATGACGCCGCTGTAGTGTGTCCAGGACGTCTTTCAATGCACACCAACACTATGCACGGCAGAACACCGACATGAGGTGAAGGGATCAAGATTTAATCTGCGATCAAAATTCCGCGCAAGTTAGGGTAAGCTGGAGCAGAGGTTAAACCTCAGTTGGGGGTGGTAAATGAATCAAATAGCATGCTAACACATCCCAGGCTAGTGGAATAGGCCATAGGTAAAGCATCAAATATTTCAAAAAACCGAACACCTCCTGGAGGTCAGATAGCTCCAAGCAGCAACTTAGGGAATCAGTGTGCTTGGGCTAGCTGGAAGACATAATCAACTGGCTACAACGCGGTACGAAGGTGGTTACCCAAAATAATGACACCAACACCACTCGCAGCAGGGGGGGTATAGTAGGAGGGATATCTGCACCAGGGCTCTGTGTCACTGGCAGCAGAGACTGAAGAAATGGTTGAGATAACCGAACTGTGATAGTGGGGTCAATGAAACGAGAACCGGCAGCGACTCAGACGTGAGCCTGAGAGGGGAAGGCAATCGTATTGGGGGAAGGGGTTCCAACTCTGTGCAGGAAGCATTCGAGCAGCATGTTGGAGGTGGTGTTGGGAGAATGTACTTACGTGGAGGGGAGTTGCCCATTGACTCAGTAGAATGCAATGACCATCATCCTGATGATGGGCATGGTGAGGCAGCTCAAACCTGTAGGCCTCCAGAGGCATCCAGGACCAATATGTCGGAAAGTTCGAGGACAGGTTGAAAAAGAAGAGGTTGCCCTCTAGCAGAGCCTACTCTGTGGCTGGTGGGCTTTCCCTTAGCAGGAATAGTGCAGGGTTGTGTATGATCGACTTAACTTGACAAGGTCTAAAGCTGGCAAAGAATAACTGAGGATTTGAATCTCATCGGAAAGGTCAGACGTGAACCGGACTTTGTCTGTTTCAGGGCTACTCTGGGGTACGAGGTTACGAATGTCAGACTGTCAGGAGAGACTAACTCTGGGGGTAAGCTCAACCCTGTGACCTCTTAAACTGCTTTGAGGCTTCCCCAAACCCTTCTGGAGGTCAGGTCGTACAGGGGAGGGTCAAAGTCGAACTAACTTTGTTTGACATCACACCCGCCGAGAAACAACAATGTTGAGTGCACTCCCCCTACAAATTGGTATCTCACCACGAATTTCGGTCTGAGCTGTCTAGATATACCATTGGGCTGCCTGAAATACCTGGAGTGCATAGTGAGGCCAGGTAAGCACTACATTCGAGCCGATTCTGATTGATCTGATACACAACACCAACCAATGTTGAGTGCACTCCCACTGCAGTTGGACTTGATATCTCACCGCGAATTCCGGTCTAAGGGCTCTACGTACCCTCTAAAGCTGCTTGGAATACTTGAAGTGCATATTGTCCCAGACCACCCCCCGATAATTGAACACAGTGACATTGTCTTCAGATCAACGATGATTGGCAGCTGTACCGTTTTCAACCACGACTCTACGATTCTACACCTTATCCACCGTACACTCACTCATCTGACCTGCATTTTCGATTTTTCACCTTCTCTTCTCTCACACATGCTCCGCAGTCAACTCAAGGCAGGTGGTTGAACAGGGGTGGAGTTCAAACCATGAAACCAAGGGCGGTTCATCTCGAGGCTAGAAAAATATGTGTAGCGAGGACTACATTCACAAGGTAGCGACACATGTATACCGGGCACAACAACAAGCAGGGACTGTGTCAGCTTCCAAGCCGTTGCGACACTACGAGTGCATGGGTATGGCTGACGTGGAGGTAGTAACCCGCCGCTACAGTGGCGAACATCCTTAGGCAGCACCTTTGAGCCTTGTAAACAGTTCCATCCCTCCCCGTGGGAACTTTCAACTGGAGCTCCCAGGTTGGATCAAGTGGCAGGAGCTCGTAAACAGCAGAGGGAGCTGAACAGCTCCTCAGAGAAGGACTCTTTGCCAACTGCCGTCACCCAGCGCGACCGTGGTTGACTCTGGTGGTGTTCTGGGCTGTGTGCGTGCATGGATATGCCATGGATGGCCCAATACAAGGCTAATCAGGGGCTGGATGGCCGAGTGGTCTAAGGCGCTAGAATCAGGTGTTGTATCTAGTCCTCCGGGGCGTGGGTTCGAATCCCACTCCAGTCATCTTTTGCTCCTTCCTGCGGTCTTGGGGCGATTTTTTTGGCCTCAGGAGGCTGTAGGACTTTGCCTTGAATCTCCACTCAGGTGTACTGTTTCACCGTGGATGTGTATAGTGTTCAACTCATATCCGACTCCACTCAAATCCCACTCTAGTCATCTTTTGTTCCTTCCTGCGGTCTTGGGGCGTTTTTTTTTTTGACCCCAAGAGGATGTAGGACTTTGCTTGGACTTTGCCCTCAAGTCTGGCACTCAGGTGTACTTATTTTTACGGTCGATGTGTATAGCGTTCAACTCATATCCAACTTCCCTCGAATCCCACTCCAGTCATGTTTTGCTCCTTTCTGCGGTCCTGGGGCATTTTTTTTTGACCCCAGGAGGCTGTAGGACTTTGCCCTCAAGTCTCGCACTCAGGTATACTTGTTTCACCGTGGATGTGTCTACCGTTCAACCCACATCCGACTCCAATTCGACCGTAGAAAAATACCAACATGTAATCTCGATTCTCTCCAAGACAGATGTTATAAACGGTTGAGCTCATTCCTCCCTGGTTTATGGCCGGAATAGCGCCACGCTTGTGCTCGGGATCGTACATGTCAGAATAACTGGTGTCCAACCCAAGATGGAACATGCTTCAATTCAAAGTGTGAGATGCACAATAGGATTCGTATCCATCGAAGAGCGGAAAAGAAAGGCTGGGCATGAGGCAGATTCATCGTCGCCTCACAGGGATGGTGGCTGAACATATGCATCTTCAATGACTCACCGGGTGGTCATGCAGCACAGTCGGGTGATACTCGGATACCTGGAGGCAAGAATAGAATAGATTGAGGTAGATTGAGGTGGAGCTGAGCCGATAAGGAAGTATTCTGTATTACTTCAACGGCGAGAGTGCGTGCGGGAAATGACGCCAGTGAGAAAGCTGAGGTGAGGTATGGTGTTCATTACAGTCAAGGGAATGGAATAGCCCTGCTTCTATAAGTACGCCTGGCACTGACAGGAGGCACGAAGATGGCTATTCACTAGACGAGTTTCAACGTTCGGTTGAGCCTTACCGCGTCCGCTTATTAGGCATCCCAATAGACGACAGTGAGATGATCCAACTTCTTGAAGTCAAAACAGAGAAGAACGAGACCGAGGGACGACTGAGATATCCAGAGACGCCGAGAGGTTGGCGTGCCGTACACATTGTTGTGGTCAGACGAGATAACCAGAATTGGTGAGAACCAAAGACACGTCCAGTCCGAAATTCTAGGGCCCAGAGGGACGCCGCGCCGTTGGAAGCAGTGATCCTCGGGTCCGGGCTGTGGTGCGAAGAGCGCTAGTGCAAGTATAGCACGGCGAGCAGGTGAAGCCCGTCGCGGTGTTCGGACCCACGAATACATCATCTTGGTTTCGTGGATACTCCGTCTCCGCCTCCCTTCACCTTGTCCCCAATGAGCCTCTCCCCTGACGTCGAGAAGGGCTTCAGGTTGGTGGACTTGATGGCAAGAGGCAAGGAGAGGGCGAAGCCTTCACCCTCGGGTCCAAACACACGCAACTTCTCCGCCAACGACTCGAACGACGAGCTCGTTGTTTCCGACTACTTGCCAGACGTGGCTGTCTCTTTACACAACTTCCAAGCTGGCGTCAACGGCGTGGGTATGCGCTCACAGAAGCGAAGACTTCTACGACCATGGACAGTTTATGCATGGCTACACCAAAAAAGCGGCTCGATCTTCATTTTAATGGTCTTTCTGGCTTTCTTGCGCCTCGGGATACACGCAGCGGCGCCCCCGGTCTCTCGACGGCCTAAAGCCACGGCTACATCCTTTGCAGCAAGAGCCAAGGCCTGGATACCGCTTATCAGTGGCACGAACACACCACATCCAATTCCCGGGCTTATGGACGCCGCAGAGGCGCGATTCCGCGCCAAGGTGGCTCGGCAGAGCACCACCCTCGAGGCCGCCGTGGTCGAATACAAAAAACGACACGGTCGCGCGCCACCCCGCGGATTCGACGAGTGGTACGCGTTTGCGGTCAAGAACCGTTTTGTCATGATCGACGAGTTCGATTCGGTCGTCGAGGATTTGGAGCCGTTTTGGCAGCTCAGCGGGGCAGAGGTTCGTAGGCGGGCGGCGCTTGTTGGCGCGTTGCCCAGTATCGATGTGATGCGCGTGCGCGACGGGGAGGCGCGGACGGTGAATCTGGCCAAAGGGTGGGAGGACGACGAGGTTAGCGCACGCGCTAATGGGTTCAAGGTGATGCTGGAGAAATTTATGGCCAAGGTACGTACCTGCCCTCCATGTTTCCACACTTTTTTCGCACCACTGACGCGGCCTCAGCTCCCCGACATGGACTTCCCTATCAACGCAAAGGCGGAGGGTCGGGTCATTGTGCCTTGGGAGCACGTTAATTACCCCAACTTAACGCAGGAAGCCGACGCGTCGGGCAAGTCCTCTTCTCTCCATCACCGCCGACATCACACTAACTAACTGCGACCCACAGCGGAGACCCTGCTCTGAGTAACGACGAGAACTATGGGAGTGGGACTCGGGTAATCCATCAATAGTGGGACTCAGCGCGGCTAATCCATCATAAATGGGACTCGGTTGGTGCCGAAGGTTCATCAAAGAATGGGACTCGCGTAGCGCTGCCCCCCCGAGAATGCCGTGTGGGGACGGCGATCAAGGCAATCAGCAGTGGTACAAGAATATTGGACCTGTGCCGCTGGGCACCCGCATCTGCAGTTAATTCAACCAGGTTGATTCTCAAAAACACATGTAAACAACGCGTCGCGTCGCGACACGAGACATATTGACGATGTAAATCAATGCCATCGCCGAGGCCTACGGGTTGAACAATAGCAATGGGGTACAATGGGATGTGGTGTGAAATAAGTGTTGAAAAAGACTACAACTCTGCCCTTGTTTTCGCGTTCTTTGTCCTCGAACGCGCCGCCCGACCTCCCACAATGATATCACGCTCATCAACCTCCGGTTCCTTTGCCTTGCGCTTCCTGTTGGTTGTTGTGGCCGTTGAGTCTAACACAAGGGTGGTCGGCGCTGCTGCGGTTGGATCAACGATGGAGGTTGAGGTTGATGCGGCGGCAGAGGGCGATGCACCGGTCGAGGTCAACACACTAGAGGTGGACACATGAGGCGAGGCCGAGCCGTGGCCCAGATGCGGAAGATCATATGTGGTGCCGACTGTGTTGGATCCTTCTGCGTGTGAGTACCTACCTCCAAATGCCTCTGGAGTGCTGGCGGTATTCGCCAAAAACTCGGTCAAGAAATCAACCGGGGAAGACAAGTCTGAGTTTGCCGTTCCGTTCATTGGGTCGTCCATTGGGTAAGTTGTGTTCGTGGGTCCGAACCCCGGGCCGCTATCGTTCAACGAAAATTCCGATGCGGAATCTACCGTTGCATTAGTGTCGGGTCAAATGTGGTTGAGAAATTACTCACAAGGATATTCAACCCCTGAGTTGAAATGGGTAAGCTGGGGATCGAAATTTGGCGCGGACAGATCTATGAACAAGAACTCAGAGACTGGGAGACTGGCACACTGGGACGCAGACAACCCACCGTGATTTTCGTATGCTGAGTTCAACTCTGGGTTGAAATTGGTGAACTCCGGGTTGAAGTTCGCTGCGGACAAATCTGTGGACCACAACTCAGTGACTAGTTCACTGGGAGGAATTTGGAACAACTCACCGTCATCCTGGTACGGCAAATCGAACTCTGGGTTGAAGTAGGTGAACTCGGGGTTGAGATTGACTCCAAACGAAGCTATGAACCAAAACTTCGTGACCGGTTTAGTGCGAGGTAATGCACCTAACTCACTGTCTTGTTGGTACACTGGATTGAACTCTGGGTTGAAATCAGCTATCCCACCTTCCGCGGCCATGTTGTACGTTCGCGGTGGGCTCCAGATGTGACGACGTATAAGAATACTCTTCGTGTATCGATTAGATGTATCGTTTATCACAATACACGAATTTGAGTTGGTTTCAATCGGCTCTTGCAATATGCGCGAGTATCGACTGCCTTCCAGACAAACGAAGAAGTACCGAGTGTCTTTTGGGAGTGGCGTAGGTTTCGGTAAACGGTGAGATATGCGGCGAGTTACGGAGGAAGTGAGCCCTTGAGGCTGAAATCCTATAAACAATAAAGAGTTAGTACGGTGAGCGTAATCGTTACGCTTTGGGCAGAAGGTCTTCGGCGACCAGAGATAAGAGTTCACAGCAAAGATCGCTTTGCTGTGAGAGGTTTTGAGGCGGGAGTCGAGGACGAGAGATAGCAGATAGTTTGGGGAACTTTCGTGTATTCTGATACTGCAAAATACGGGGGCAAAAGGACACACTTTATCGACTGGTTCTACTGTCCTTTTAACTAAACTAGAAACAATGGGATCAAGGGATGAAACAGGTATAATAGGGAAATGGAGTTAGAAACCGATCACAAGGCGACGAAGCACATGTACAAAAGATGGTAGTATCTTGGAGACAATAGAGTAATAAGTGAAACTGTTCAAACCGTGTGTTCTTCAAGGGGTGCTGGATACGACAACCAATTTGTGGAAAGCAACCATTCAAATCTGCCTGGAGCGCCGTGTGGTTCTTTGGTGCTAACCCGATTAGGCAAAAGTGGGCGGGCAACCGGTATTTGTTGAATATTGGCTAGGGGATCCGGATCGATCGAGTTCAGGAGTTTTGCCGCAGTTCAATGGAATATTCCGTAGCTGGAACGCATCCAACAAACATGATCGAATGGGCGGAAGATTCCCTTTTTGGCGGAGGCAGAAGTGTGTGTTTGGTTACGGGACTGTTTAACTGCCTTTTTGGGAGATGCCGAGGATGCCGAGATAACCGAAGTAAGTTCGAAAGTTTAATTCGAACTTGGATCTCCTTCTTCCGAAAAGTGTGGGTCGTGAGCGGAAGGGTTGTTGAATAGGATTTTATGTTCTTCGTTGGCGAGTCGAGTGGTAAAAGGTGCGTGATTTCACCAATTTCACCAATGTGGTATCAC